GCTTTATAGTCCCTTTTAAATGTTTTTTTATTTTATTTTATTTTCTGTTTTTACATGCTATTTTTACTTTTTGTGATCTATTTTATTTGTTGTTATTTTTATAAAAAAGACTTTTGAGTGCTCCTCACACTATTGTATTAATATATTTTGCTTTGGCTTTATTGATACAATATCAGAAAGCACTCTGTTTTGCGGATATAATCGTGTGGGCTGAAGAAAAGATTATATCTTTTTTTCCCGGTTTTATTTTTCCGGTTTTTTTTAAATAAAATTGATCTTGATATTGTTTCTCAGGAACCAAAAATTGTTGAGCTGGGTGAAGAACAATGATAGAAAAGTATTCCTCGTCTTATTACATTCCTCAGTCTCGCAAAGAAAAAAAAAAGAGATGTATTTAACTGGCACAAGTTCCAATTGAATCCTGCATCGCGTCTCTTTAAAAATAATGCTTGTTATAAAGTTAAATAGTTTTCAAAACGTATTAATGCAAATTAAAATGTTGATTAATCTGTTATTATTAACTAAAGTGATTTGGGAGAATGTTCAATTTCAGAAAGTTACATCACATCTCTTTAAAATCATCAAAAATCCTACATGTCATAAAGTTAGATAGTTTGCAACACTTAATAATTCAAATTAAAGCGTTAATTAATCTATTCTTATTAATTGAACATGTATCGAGACAGAATTTCATTCGTTTTAATTTCATCACATCTCTTTAAAATCATCAAAAATATCGGAGAACTATTTATTTTTAACAGTAGTAAAATCAAACTCCTCGTTCAACATAGTATATGCATTTATTTATCAACTCATTTCTTAAAAAAAAATTTCTTGTAAAATTATAGGTAAGAGAAAAGTAAATGTGTTATAAAAAGTACTCCTTAATTCTACGAAGAGCGTTTGCATTATAATGTGATATATTTTCATAAAAAAAATAATATTAAATTTACATTTTATGAATTTTATTGACACAGTTTCATACTAGAAATATATATTACAAAAAATTTATCATATATATATATATATATAGATGCATGAGGTATAAAATATAAATCTTGGTATTTCGCCAAGGTTAGTTATTATTAAAACCGAAAAGCGTTTCCATACACAAATTCTCTGTTACACATCTTCTCTTGCCTGTAAAGAAAGCATAGGGTTATAAAGTGTTGAAAAATCACTAATTTAATAATATAACAAGGTAGTCTACTTTTTTAATACGCAAATAACAAAATAATTTTTATTTTAAAATCTATAAAGCTACTGAGTAGAACATTGATAGTCATAAACTCAAATTTTGGACGGCTGTTCAAAATCTGCTTTGAAACATTAATTTTAAACTATGTACAATGCGCAAAAAAAGAAAAAAAAAGAAGAAAAAAAACGGGTAAATTTGATTAATTTGAATTAAGGATAAGATCTTCATGTTCTATGACTCAATGCTAACAATTTGAGGGTGAGATCTCAAATATGCAAATTAAATAGTGCAGACGATATTTTAAGTTACAGAATCGTATGTTTGAAATTCGATATTTGTGGATTTATTTAACCGATTCTGATCAAATTTCGCAATTTCCCATTTCAAATTGCATTATTTAAAATTAAATCAGAAAATGTATACCTTACAGTTCAGAATTGTTTCAACTATTATTAAATAAAATATAAAAAAATTATAAACCTTTACTAAAAGTTGTATTTTGTACGGAATTATCTTTGGCTAAACGAATTTTATAATTTAGTTCAAAAATTTTTCAATTCGCTCGAAAAATTCTCGAGAAAAGGCGAAATACCTAAAAAGTAAAATTAACATTAAAGGGTCCAAACTTTGAATCGTCCTCCTGAACAAACTATGGGGACCATATTTCCCAGATTGTGGCCATATTTCGGGGGTCACAAATCTGAATCCATTGAGAAAAAAGCATATTTACTCTGAAAAAGCACGTTTTTGTGTCTGATTTCATAATATCAAATATCCATTGCACTAATTATTTATTTTATTTGAGGGCACTCCATTGAACCATTTAAAATAAGTCCTATAACTTAAAGATCTTATCATTAGATATTTAAAATGTTCCCAAAAGTTATTCAAAATGTTCTCTTTTTTTGACAAACTGTACATTTTTTAAAACAAGCTTTTTGGGCAGGTATAAAGCATAAATCTTATTAACGAATGTTTAAGGCGGAAATTTCGTTTAAGTGTCATGCACATAATACTGATATTATGGTTATGCAATGAGGTATTTTTATTTTGTTAGATTCATTCATTTTTTTAAACAGGTATGTCTAAAATTTATTGCACATCTCTAAAATTGAAAGAAAAATAGTGCGTTCATTATTTATTAATTTCATTTTGAAAGCCCGTTTTCTCATATCCTTCAAAAAGAAATAAGAGGTGCTTTAACCAAACATGAAATTTTTATTTCAAATCTTTCTCTGTAAAATAATTGATCATCAAGCCGAATCAGTTGGATCATTTTCTCTGATGTGCAATTTTTTGCGTTAGAAGATATTATCTTAGTTATGCGAAGTCGATAGCTTATTTCCAACATTAAAAGCGATTCTAACAAAATACGAGAATTTGACGATGCATATCATTATACTGAAAAGAATTTTTAAACTAAAATCACTGTTCTGATTCCAAATATACAAGTGAAAAACTAGCAAGCGAGAATGATGGCAATTTTTCCCGAAACTTTGTTAAATATAATAAGTCATTAAAATAATTGCTTAGAGAGTAATAATTTGCAACGAAAGCATATTTATCGAAAAAAGCATGCGCATTTTAAAAAGCCGTGCAGCATGTTTTAAATTGTTAGCATAAAATTAATGAGAAAGGATACTATCAATGTTCTATTTGCATTGAAGAATTTCAAGAGGGATATAACAACGGAGTATTTATCTTTTTATGCCCATCTAACTATCTCTAGTGTAACAATTGTATTTTGAAATAATTATAAACTAATTTAGAAAAAAAAGTATGATTTCTAGTTTTATAACTTCTACCTTCAAATAAACAGAGAAAAAAACGACTTTTTAACTTTCTATGGTGCCAGTATCCTTGTCATTTTATTAAATCAAAAATATCATTAACACTTTCTTCTTCTTTCTTACATCGTTACCAAGAATTAAGGGGGCCCTCCAAAGTTTTTAACTGAACTGTACAATTTTCTCAACGCCCCGAGGAAAAAAATTCTTATTTTAATTATAGATAAATGTATTATCATTGCACAATTCGGAGAAAGATTTTCCTCTTCCATACTTTTAAATCTGTATTTGTTTTCCTTAACATTTTGATTCCGCATTTCGCAGATTCCTGATTATACAATAAATGTTATTTACTCTAAGACGTTTCTGTTTTAAGTGGTATTTTGATTTGTGCAATATTCATCTCTAAATTAATTTACTATGTTTGTATTATAAACTTCATAATGTTCAAAATGTTGTTTTTAAAATAACAACAACGTACCAAAAAATTAAGGACTGAAAAAAATATATTTAACAGATTGAATTACGCAACTTCTGCTATTTGAAAAAAAAATTACATGTAATTTTCGTCCTTTTCTTCTTATCTCCCACCAGGTCTGAAGCAGGCAAACAACTTGAAAAAAAATTACATGTAATTTTCTTCATTTTCTTCTTATCTCCCACCAGGTCTGAAGCAGTCAAACCAGGTGGAATAAGGCATGTCGATGACAAACTGAGAAGACGAGTAGATTTTTTCCTTGGTCAGTCCAAGATATGTTTGGGAGCGTCCAGTTGAAGTTGGCATTTAAGACAATGGGAAAAGATTTTAACTCCACCAGAGAATTTTAGATTTTACAGCTGACCGCTAGCGTGGCGTGACGGGCAAGTTTAGACAGATCTGTCTCCCGAAAGGGATTTTAATGTTGTAATTAATTGTAACTGGCATCAGCACTGATGATTAAACCCAGTTTTTTTGCAACCTAATTGAAAATATATATTAATTTATCATTTCAATTTTCTATTTCTTAAAAGGAAGGAAAAAAAAACATGCTTCTTTCCATCTTTTAATTTCTGGTTATTTCTAAAAAAATTTCAAAATCAATTTAAATGTAATTCTTTTGTAAGAAATATTTTAAAAATTATTCAAAGTTTTTAAATTAATCATTTGATATTTAAATTTTTTTCTGTCTCATAACAATAGAGTAAACAGTTTTAAAAATATTAATAGATCATAAAATTTATTCATCAAAAATTTAAATTCAATGTGTGTCACTATTAACAACTAATAAGTGGAGAATCAGTTTTAGTGTTCAATATATAGAAAATAACAAATTACTTTATATATCTAACAGATTGGATTTAAAAGGCTTGATTTAGTGTATGGTAATATATTTATGGAAGTGAAAAAAAATAAATCCAGTGATAGATAACGATCATGAATTCAGCATATAAAGCACTATTGATAGAATTAAATGAGACACACAGTTGACTAGGAACCAAGAGAAGTACCATTATCAGTGCCAAAGCACAAAATAAAGTAAAATACAAAAAAAAAAAAAATGCTATGGAATCAACCTAGATACAATGCGAAGTTTAGTCGAGGGAAAAACGATAAAGCTTGGGCAAATTCAACCACGATTAAATGAGATAAAAGAGAAATGTTGAGACAGGTTATATACAACCTGAAGATGTTATGTCTTGAATTGAAATTTAAGGGTACATAAGTGTTGGCTCCTTTATGTGTCCTAATTGCTTAAGTAGCGTTTCTGTATTTTTTTAGTTCTGCATTGCAGCTGTAATAATGAATTTCTGTTGCACCAAAACATCCCCCCTGTATCTTTCAAAAAGGTTGCTTGGGTTTTATTAATTTTGTTCTTCTAGATTATAAACATAAAACATTGTAATTATAAACATAATCATAAACGTAATATATACACATCAAAAGCAAACCTTTTCTTGCAATTAAATTTTACCAGTTGATTTTACATTCATTTTAACTAAACTCAGAATAAAAACTGGATGAAAGGAATTCTAGGAATTCTACAATGCAAAAGAATGATAATTAAAGCTTTAATTCAGAATTTTTTAAATGTCATTTTAAAGAAATGAGCTTGAAAACTTACTTCTACTAATGCAAGATGATGATTCATCACATTTCCCTCAATTATGTTTTGATGATAATTGTTTTCTAAATGCTTTGAAAGTAAGCTATCAGCTGTTGGAAATTTTGTTAATTGTAGAAAATCTAGAGAAGAACAAGAATAACGTTTGACTTACAGTATACATTAAATCGAGAACATATTTAACACTAGAAGCTCAGTTGGGGTCATTTTTTGTCATTTCTTATGTCGTTTTTGACGATACACCTGAACTTCGAAGCTGATATATTTATACTTTTCCTAAATTGTATCTTTTCTACTTATTTTTTTCTTTTTAGTGCAGAAGTTACTTTTTTTAATTTCAATTAATACATATTACCAACATTAATTAAGCATCATTGTCGCCAATGATACTATGATTTCTTACTGTAGTTCTAGACAAATAAATACCTTTACTCCATTTTTTTTGTTTTCTAGTATATTTCTTATTTCTTTTATTTCAGCATGCATTTATTACTTTAATTAATTAAGTATATTTTACGTAATTAAGCCTCATTTGTGCCAATTTTTTATGTTTCTCCTAAGCGAATTAGTTCCTTTTCCCCATTAACACGTTGAATGTCACGCTAATTTTACATGGCATGCCCCTATGGCCAAAATGACTTTCTAGTATGTGTTGCATATTTTGATGAAATATTATTTATCACAAAACAGTTAATTTTTGTTTTCATTCGTGACACATTTAATTAACTGAGGTCACCGGTGACCTCCGTGGTGCTGCGAACAAACTTAGTGCCGATCGCTATATAGATAATTTTTTTCTATTCCATTACCGTTGGTTCTAAATACGAATATTTAGAAACACGTTTAAAAGAATTAATATAAATAAAATAAAGGTGCGTGGTATCAGACAAAGTGTAAGTTTTGTGACTTAGACCACGCTTGCTACCACGTAATGTTCATTGAATTCATTTGCCATAGCGAATATTAAATAAGGAAATATTTTAATACGTGCAATAAATTATTATTTTTTATCAAACGAAGCTAAAAGCTAGCGAATACCACTGACGTATCTTTAAAATACGTGAAAATTTATTCAATCAACTTAAAAATCTGGCTAACGCTTAAATAATCAGAAAATTCCATTAGGTTTTTCGCTCATCCCGCTAGAACGATTTATCATAGAATGTTCTAATGTTGACAGTGACCTTCCTCGTGCTTGGAACTATCTGTATGCCAAATTTCAGTACTTTCTACTAGATGGTATAGGAATCTATAAAGAACATACATACATACACAGACAGATTACATTCATTTATATATATATGGATTGAAAATTTTTAGAACGGAACAAGTCTGGCATTTAACCACCAATTCTTTGCCATCAACAAATTTATACAAAATTTCGTTTCTATTGCAATAATCTTCATAATTCGAAATTTTAAGTAGTTCTTTTATAGTCTTAATTCCAGTATCTTTATCTTGGGCTGATCTGAGTCTTGGTAAAATATTATCGACGGTAACACAAAATACATTAATTGGAGATCGGCTAAGGGCGTCTACGTGAGCCATCTTATTTCCAGAACGATGCTCAATTATGTAGTTGAATTCTTGCAGCAAAAGTGCCCAACGAGCTACACGAGTCGACAAATCTCGTTTTGACATAGTCTTTTCAAAAGCAGCACAGTCAGTAATTATTTTGAATGGAATACCTAACAGATAGATGCGAAATTTCTTGAGGGCTTCTACGATAGCAAGAGCTTCAAGTTCGTAGCTGGAATACTTTTTTTCAGCATCAGTCGTTTTTCTACTCATATAGTAAGTGGGGTGAAAATGTTTTTCATCAGGGGGTTTTTGCATTAAAATGGCAGCATATCCTTCTAAGCTGGCGTCTGTGTGTAACTCGGTTTCGTATTTAGGGTTATATATTGAAAGAACAGGATTTTGGGCTAACAAAGATTTTAATTGATTAAACGCTTTCTTTTCTTCAATGCTAAACTTAAACTTATGATCTATTTTTAGCAGGTCACTCAGCGGTCTAGCTATTATAGAATAGTTCGGAATAAATTTTCTGAAGTATCCGGTCAATCCCAAAAAACTATGAATATTTTTCAAATTTGTTGGCTCCGGAAAGTTAAGAACTGCTTTGGTTTTCAAGGTAGATGGGAATATTTTTCCATCCTCTATTACATGACCTCTAAAAATTCAATGCGTTTCTTTAAGAAATGGGACTTCTTGAAATTAATATTAAGTCCATATTCACTAGCAATATTTAAAACCCGATTAAGTCGTTCAATACCTTCTTCAAGGGAGGAAGACAGAATTATAATGTCGTCTAAATATGGTAAAACTATACCCTCATTAATCAAAGTTCGGAAAATGGTGTTTATGTATCTTTGAAATACAGCGGGAGAGTTGCATAGTCCAAAAGGAACCTTAAGAAATTGATATTGTCCTTCATGTGTCACAAATGAAGTGTATTTTCTACCATCTTTATTTACATCGACATGTAGGAATCCGTTCTTAAGATCAATTGTACTGAAAATTTTCGAGTCCTGTAGTCTATCTAAAATGTCTTCAATTAATGGGAGGGGAAATCTATCTTTGACAATTATCTTATTTAATTTTCTATAATCTATGCAAATGCTTGGAGATCCGTCTTTTTTCTTAACTATTACAACGGGACTACAATATTCGGAAGAACTAGGCTCCACTATTCCTTGTTTTAACCATTCAACGACTTGAGCTTCAACAGTCTTCTTTTCAGAAAACGGCACTCTACGTGGTTGGTGAAATATCGGTTCCTGACTTTTAACCAAAATGTTCATTTCCACATTAGTTGTCTTAAGTTTATCTGGCGCATAATCTAAAACTAATTGTTGTAACTTATTTTTTAAAACATTAGGAACACAAGGATCTATGTTAATTTCAACCTCATCAGATATAGTAAGATCGATTGGTAAAATAGACAAATAGTTTACTTCATCAAAACACGGAATTTTATTTTTAATTGTGATACCCTTTTCATTGATTATTGTTTCACCGTGCATTAAGACATTAAGGCCTATAATAGCGTCATACGGCATCATATCATTTTCTACAACACATATTTCAGCCAAATATTTGAAATCGTCAATTTTAATACTTTCTTTAAAATAACCTAACGGAGTCACTTTTGATTTACCAAATCCGTTTAGAGTACAATTAAATGGAAATAGTTCTTTGGAGTTTAAATTATTAAAAATTGATCTTTTGATTAAAGTGGCTTGACTTCCTGTATCAATCAAAGACTTCACAGTTAAGTTATCAACCGTTACCATTTTAAACAACTTTGGCTCTACACTAACATTTAAAGTAGCAACTTCCGTTTTTGCATTTGATTTTGGACATTGCGAAGCTTTGTGTCCAAACGCTTCACATTTAAAACACTTTAAACCCTTATCTTTATGTATGCAATATTTTGAAATATGATTTCTTGAACCACAATTGTAACACAATTTATTATTAAAAGTTTCAACATCAGTATTATACCTTATCTTTTCATTATTATTTTCATATTTATTTTTATTCCTATTTGAAACATCTTTTCTTACATTATACCTATCATCATATTTTGCTTTTGTTCTATCATAAGAATTATATTTACTATCAAAGTCATGTTTTGTTCTGATTTTATCGAAAGCATTTTTACTCTTTGCGGAATCACTTTTTATTATTTCATAAACTTTAAGTTTCTCTTTAAATTCGGACAAATTTTTGCAGCCGTACAAAACAATTTTGTTTTCATGCTTATCGTTAATCCCCTTAATTACATAATGCATAAAAGCAGCATCGTCTATTTTTCCGAAATTACAGATCTCTTTCATCTTTAAATAATATTCTTGAGCCGATTCACAATCCTTCATTTTTCGTCTACTTAAAAGATCATGCAAATTGGCAGAATTAATTTCAAAAGAAAATTCGTCAATCAAAGCTTCTTTTAATTTTCGCCATGAATTTATTTCCGGTACAGTTCTGACAAATAAAGAGGCGTTACCACCAAGAGATCTTTTGGCAAAAATAAATTTTTGTAAATCTGACAAATTAAACAATTTTGAAATATTTTCGAAATGTTCGATCCAATGAACAATATTTTCATGCGATCCTGCATTATACTTAGAAATAGTACTTTCGATATCAGAATAATTAATAGCAACATTTTGAAATTCGAAATTTCTACAGGAATTATTTTTATCTTTTAAACACGAATTACTGTTTTTATTTTCATCATTTCTCTGCACTGGAAAATTGTGTTCCTTCTCTTTAATCAAAGGCTCAGTTTCACTTTGAGGATTGCTTATGTCTTCGTCCGACTCTGAACTAGACGCGTTGGCTCTATTGGCGAGCTCTGCCAGTTTATTCAAATCCATTAATAACGTCAACATGTTTATTGCAATTTCGGTTTCATTGCCTTCATACGAAGTATTTAGAATATTGGAAAAAGTTATAAGTTGGTTAAGAGTGAATTCTTTTTCAATATTTTTTAATTTATTTTGAAATTCTTCGCTGTCTAAAGTAAAATTGAAACCAGTAAAATTTCTTAATCGTTTTCTGTTTGAACGATCGCCTTCTACATCGAAAATAAATTTATGTAAAAGTCTTATTTTGTCTTTCTTAAAATTTTTCAATGCTTTTCTTACTTGCTTAATATAATTAAGAATCATTTTTTGATTAATGAATAAAAGTCTAATAATAAATGTAGATGTCACAAATGTACGATACGTACATTTTGCAGAGATGATTGTAGTTGCAGAGATGAAATAAAAAAAACGAAAGTTTCATCACAACGCCATTCCGTTACTTACTTTCACAAGAATGAAACCATTCGGCATCCAATTTTTTTTCGCCAATAATTTTCTTTTTACTAGCAATTTTTTATCAATCTAATTTCTTCACCATCAATTTGTTCTTGAAACCGCTTCTGATTTTGTGGGGACGGCATGAGTGGTCGTCTTTGAAAATGAGAGACACTGTACTTTAACAAAACATATATTAAACGCTAAATTTACATAAAGATGGACGATAAACAAACACAGAAATAACACAAAATAAATGAGTTCGTCATCGTGAAGTTAAAAGAAAATCATCATCGCTGCCCCTCTCTGGAATTCATCAGCGTCTCCTTTTTTGTTAGTTCCATTACGAGCTCCCTTGTCTCTCGTGTCTTTGGGAAATTCGCACGGGGTCTAACTTGCAGTTTACATAATCTGTCATAATCTGGTTGGATCTCTAGCTAGATCAGCTTACAGCACAGGAACTGGTACTATAGATTGGAACTGGCACTACATATATATGTATATATATATTTCTAATTCGTCTCCCTACTTCCAATTGCACAGCAAATCAATTTTTTTTATTTAATTATTGGTGATTTAGCTAGTCTAGACGCAGACATATCGGTAATTTTCTAACAACATGATTCAAATGTACACTTTATTAAAGCTGCTGAAAAGTAATATAGTTCAACACGCTACTAAGTTTCTGAAAAAAAAACTCTTATGCTATTCAAATAAAAACAGAAAGAAAACATTTAAGTTAAGTCAAATTGAAGAAACTATCGCGAATTTTTTTTTATATTACAATTAAGCCTCTGAGAATGAACCTTCGTCTTTGAATTTGATCGTTCCTACCCAGGTCGATACAATTTTCTACTAATTGTTACCATCGCAGTTCTTACCTGTTTGAATATTTGGAGAGTTATAAATATAAGAATTTTCTTCACCACATTCATTATTTCTTGGAGTGGACCTACGAAAAAAGAGCACATTTACTGGAAGTAACCAAAAAAAAAAAAAAAAAAAAANAAAAAAAAAAAAAAAAAAAAAAACAATACTATAAATAAGATATTTACATGCATATATTTTTAATATATATTTTTTACAGCTTTAACCAAATCATTTTTATGAGATGCTGTAGGTCTATAATGATATTTTCTTGATTTTTGATTTACTCAAAGCAAGATAATTAAAGTTCTTCTTCCAATTGCTTCCAAATTTAAACAGTTGTGTTACACGCATTGCACAATTTGCAATTATTTATGCAAGTTATGTTCGACATTTTCAGTGCGCTGCTATACATCTCTGGCTTCGTAAATATTTTTTAACAGTTACATCAGAAAAATTTTAAACTAATAGCTTCAAAAACTTAAACAAATTTGTAAGTATTATCAATGATAAAATTGCAATAATTAATATTTAAAATATTTTTCTTTAAAAAAAAAAACACGCAATAAAAGGTACTGCCAAAAACATTATATTTTCAAGTGATTTAAAAATATTCTAAAATAGTTATTTTTTTATTTTTATAAATTCCTTATACTATTAAAGCTAGGAAACTATTAGCTTATAAAATTGTATGAGGAATTACACTCATTCACAGCTTTAATAACTTCAATATTACGCATATTTATCCACAAATTCTTCTGAATTGCATAAAAATTGTTCGTCATTAGAAAAACGGAAAATAAATGAGTTTATATGAGCTTTCAATTTTTAAATAAACAGTTCAAAAGTTTTACTTACTGTTCAGACACTTTAATATCAGCTGGTTTATCTAAGGAAAAGTTATAATACAAGTTACCATAAAACAGAAAATTGCATTAATGTAATAAATTATAAAATGCATATATATATAAGAGAGAGAAAATAAGTTTCTTTAAAAATCTACTAATTCGACAGATGGAAACAACTAAGATAATAATTGTGTACTATACAACAGAAAACTTTAAATTAAGTAAGAATGTTTATCTTGCTAATGAGATTATTGTTACTCTATTTAAGGGCTGAGTATCGATTTTTCATTTTTACAAACTCATTGTTATTTTTAGATAGTCTATTCATAATTGGTGATGACTCTACATTAGTCTTCATTGCATCAAAGCATTGTCACCATTGGCTTAAAAAAAATGAAATAAGGTAATTTTATCAAGAATCAATGTTAGTTTTCTTTATTTTTTTTACATCGCTTAAAATATTCATTAATATTAACTTGAAATTCCTTTATACATTATTTTACGAGTAATATTTTAACTAGGCTAAAGTATTTTAATAAAAATAGTTGAATTATTTCAATTAGTGTAAAGTAAATCAAATTTTTATAAATTTTTAGTTTTATTATTTTAATTAAACTTTAATTTCGGAGAATCAGTACTTAATTGTTCTAAAAGTTTGTGCTAAATACTGAAAATACCGCAATTTTAAGATAGGGAATTTTGTATTCATGTAAAGTTTCTATAACAATTAAAACATTGAAATCAAGTGATTCTATCCTAGGGCCGTTTTACATTTTTAAGATGCAAAACGTAGATTAGAAGACTTACAATTCTTCAGGACAACAATATTTGAAACATTTAAAACATTTTTGGCATTTTTCATTGCATAAGATATTTTAAATGCTTTAAAAATAAAAACAGGAGTACTAAATTATAGATTCTGATAATCCAGTTCTCTCTAACTTTAAATCAATCGATGTTAGTAGCATAAATGTCAGTATCTGAAGAATCTTCTGAATATTTAGTTTTACTGGAATTTGCTATTTACTTTTTCAATATATCTCTAAGTAGAATTCTCAATCTACACACCATCTCTCCTGTCAACTTATACGGAAATCATTACTTTTTTCTTAAAATGTTTCAAGAAAAATTTGATAAAATGTTGCCTATTAAATGAGTTTATCATTGAATTGAATACTGCGTATCTACTGCATTTGTTAGCTTTTAAAAAGAGCATTGTGCTGACAAACCAATTAGGCAGATATTGCTATCCTCTATTAATCGTGTTCAGTTGAAGTTTGGATACAAATTTAAATTTTTTCTATAAATAAAGTCTTCTGAAACTAGACAGACGGAAGGATCTTAGCGATCCTTTTTGTTTTTTGCTGTTCATTAATTCGAAAAATAAATAACTTGAAGCAGTAAAGTCTTATGATTTTACATAATATAATTCCATTTAAATGCTTATTTAATTATTTTAGTTTTTGTCTCAAAAGAACGTAATTATTGAAATTCATACAAAGAATGAGGACAAGGGCCAGAGGGAAACTTAAGTATTTTGTTCTTCAAGTCACTGCAACACATCTTTAAAGTATTTAATTATAATTTTAGACTTATCTTTTATAAATGTGCTGATTTTATCTAAATAACTAATCGGGAAAATGGAACTTTAGCACTGAAATTACATGAAGTGCTATGTGCTTCAGGCGTGTCATAAGAAATGCAGCTAAAACAATGGAACTAGCCGAGCTATGAAGCATCAAATATGGTCATAAATGCACACTTGTATAGTTAAAAATATGTTTCAAAAGAAGTGAGAGTGAATGGAGTGTTTAAATTAAAAAAAAGGAAGAATGAAAATAAATCAGATTTCAATTCAATTTACAAAATTTTGAGTAGAATATTCTTTCAGTAATTTCTATGTTTTCCTTTGCTGCTAAAACTGTTAACATTTGAAACATTGCAAAGGAAAAACAATTCTAATTTTTAATTTTTTATTATCAAACTTTTATTTCACTTTTTAAATTTCAGTCTAATTTTAAAATATAATATTTTCAATATTTTTTTTATTTTGCTTCCAAAGAAAATTTGGAAAATAAGGGGTTTTAATGTCTAACGTAAGCAAATCATGTCCTTCGTTAAGTGCTTAAGTAATATTTGAACAACCCTTTGTGTATTGAAATTGTTTATCTCTTAAACAGTTTCTTAAGGAACAAGACATTCCTAATTAAAAATTGCAATGAACATTGAGTCGGCTAATCTAAATTCTTCAATTATTTTTGTTTTATCGTCTTTAATTACTGGAGGAAAATTTAACTAATGTGAAGAAAGAAAAATCCTTATTATTGTTATTTCATTATTTTTTTTTGTTTTTTTTTTTTTGTTTTTTTTTGTATTTTGAGAAACATTTGACATCAAGGTTTAGTGAATTATAAGTAATTTAAGGAATAAAATTTTACAAAAATTTATTCAATGTTTTAAAACGGCAGAGATTACCTTTTTTTCCGTTCTTGAAAATAAAAATTAGTATTATTCAAAAGAAAAACAAAGGAACACTACACTATTTTTATAAATTTGATATGCATTTTATGAATAATAATGTTTATAACATCACTTATTAATAATATCGCATTTATTACTTAATAATTATATTTTTGCGATATTTTTAAAACTATGCTTGATTTTAATTAATCTTACTAACTTGAAAAAGTAAAAATGAAAAAAGTGCCACTAGTAATGAAATGAGTGAAAAATTGTCACTAGTATGATTATGGATCAAGCAAGGATGAGAGGTCATATTCAGTTTATTTCTTTTACAAATTATTTTTTTTCAAGTTCTGATATCGAATGCTGACTTCTTATGTAAAAATAATTTTTAAATATAATGAATGACCACTGGGTACCAAATATAGACTGCTTAAATCAAACTTCATTTTTGCTGCATTTGTCAATTATTATTGTTATTATCACTTCGTAAACACACTAAACAATTGGGTTTTTAATTTCGTAGACACGATTTTTGTGTTTTCATCGAGAGTTGCATCGAGAATTGATTTGTTGAATATGTGAAGTACAAAAATTATTACCTTTCATATTATGGCCTTTAGGTTTATTTCTTAGCACTGTTATTCCCGCAATAATAGTGAATACGGCTAAAGTTCCAAGAAAGACAAAGGAGGAGAGTAGAAAAATATTCGTTGCAAATTTCTTTTTTGGACCTAAAATTAAGAGGATTAGCAAAACCCCTTGAATTAATAATTATATAATGAAACATTAAATGGCGCATAATAAAATAGCATAAAAAGCACTAAATGGCTAATACACTGATAGGGGGCACAGCATAATAAAACATAATAAATTGACATAATAAATATAATAAATTGAAATATCCTCAAAACATAATGAATTGAAAATATCAACAATCATTAAGCCTATCTAAATACGAGTCTCTGTGTCTTTACGCGAAATGGTATACAAAGAATTTTAATTTATGAACCAAACATGTTCCAAGTTGACTACTATAGTCACTATGGAAATTGGTTTTCATGGCCCATCGAAAGGGTTTAGTACCGAGGAAAATTATTGATTAAAGTAATTTATGACAATAAGAGATTGACCTCGAGCAATACCATTGTGCCAAATGGCACTGAATATAAATGTACTTTATCTTTAGGAGATGAATTTTTAAAAATATGTTTTGCCTAATCGAATAACTCGAAGTCTCTGGGAAAAGCACCAAATATAAAAAATGGAATTTTTTTTAACTTAATTACTTGCGACGGAAAATGTCTTTTTGTTTTGTACATGATTTCGTAAGGTTGATTAACACTGAGTTTTTGGTTATTTACTTTTTTTTCTTCCCTTGGGAAAAATTGATATTCAGGTAGTATTTAAATATAATAAAAAAGAAATAGTTCTTATTATTCAAAAATATTTATTACAAGGAATCATCTTTCGAAGGAGTAATATCAACTCATTTCAGGATTAAAAACATGCAGGAGTAATCTAATTTTATTTGCAAAGAATGCATTTAATAACTTCGTAAAAACATTATAACAAAGAATTCTTCATTTTTGTCAGTTTTAAATTTATATAATTCAATTTTTAAAATGCTAGGGTGGCTTTTATTTTTTTAAATAAGAGATAAATCTTTACATAAAGCTATTTTCTCATAAAAATATAAATAAAAAGCAATAAATCCAATAATGCATTTTTTTGAATTTATGAATGATAAAATATTGTGACCTACACTTTCAATATGAATAAAGTGATCGCATTTTTATCTGCATAAATAGTGTCCTTCGGATGAAAACTTAAATCTCTAAAATTTAGAATTACTTGAGTAACCCTAATGATTTCGTTTTCTGAGCAAAATCTAAGTAATAATTTATCAAGTGACATTTCTTCTATAATTTTTAAGTAACATATTTGAATTTTCTAAGTCTAAAATGTACAATGTCTACCTTCAAATAAACCGGACCAACCTCAATAACTTTTGATCTCATGATTGGATCTTTGAGTTCTAGGACTTTTGATGGTTTGAGGACATAATCTCAAATATGCTAATTAGTTAGTGCCTGTGATTTTTTAAGCTTATAAATAAGAATCAAAACGTATTTCCTCTGACCTTTTGTACGAATTTGGATTTTGAACCCTCAAAATATAAGGGGTATCCGCAAGCTGTGAAATATGGTCCCCATATTTTGGTTTGGAAAGAGATCCGAAGTTTAGATCTCTTAATGTTAATTTCACTTTTTGCGTATTTCGCCATATCTCGAACACTTTTTAAGAGAATTGAAACATTTTTGAACTCAATTTTAAATTCTGCTTATCCATAGATTATTATATGCAGAAAATGAATTTTAGCAAATATCTATTATTTTTTTTACAATTTTTTATGGTCGAAAATTTTTTTTTATTGTAAGGCATAAAATTTTTTACATCATTTTAAATTTTACATGGTAAAACACAAAACTTGATCGAAATTGGTGGAATGGTTCATGAGAAATTTAATTTTAACCTAAACGACTTTTTCAAAATTAGATTTCTCAAGAACTATTCGACCGATTTCGCTTAAATTCTGCATTTTGTCATTTGAAATTGATTATGATTAACTATGTAATTAATTAAGATGTAAAATATTGTCTGCTTACAATTCAAGATTTTCCCACTATTATTAAATAAAATAATAATAAATAATTATTAAAGTTATTTTTTTGCATAGAATTAATTTTAGATAAACGAATTTTATAATTGTGTGCCAGGATATTTCAATTCGCTTAGAAAGTTCTACAGATATGGCAAAATGCGCAAAAAGTAAAATTAACAGAAAGGGGTCCAAACTTTAGATCTTCTTACAAGCTGTTGAGACCATATTTCCCAGATTGCCGTTACCCCCTATATTATGTGGGACAAAAATATGAATCCGACGGAAAAAGGGGATGTTTATTCAAAGAAAGTGCGTTTTGGGTCTGATTTCGTAACTTAAAATATCGTCTGCACTAATTAATATGCCCTCAAATCATCAAGATTGAGTCCCAGAACGTGAAGATCCGGTTATTAGATTAAAAGTTATTCAGGGGGGTTATTCTATTTTTTGACACACACTGCATGCGTCAGAATTAAAAGGAAAAGAAATAAAATTCTTACTTATATGTTTTTCTGAGGAAGTCGTAGTAGTTGTTGTTAAAACAACGCTTTCACTCCTTCCTTTATTACTGTTGGAGTATATGACAAATACGAAATTTGAACCAGCTGGTAAATTTTTTATAAGAAAATTTGGATCTTTTGCAGTAGATATATTTGTAACTAAGTGTTCATCTTCCATGTTGTATATTTCAAGATGGTAAGATTTAGGTAGTACTAAGTCACCATTACTGCAGAATACATGAATAGAATTATTGGGACTTTTAAAAATAGTGCAATTGAGAAGTGGTGGAGGAGGACCTGAAAGATTAATTTGATTGTTATTACATTGATTGATATTCGTGTAAAATGATTTAATTGAATGATTTTAATTTTAAGCATTTTTCCAAAACCAAATAGAGATCTAAATTGGACTTATGATTTACAAAATTAATTAGCTGATAACAACAACAAAAAAACTTTTTCAGCAATTTCTTTTACAAATTATGATTTTCACCCGGAATTCCAAGTTTCAGTTCTATCATTTTCCGACAGATGGCGGTGAAAATTTTTTCTACAGTTTTTCTTTGCATCTTCTTGTATCAAAAATTCGTTACCCAATACATAATTGTGGCTTATGGTGGACATTTTGAAACTATTGTTATAAGAAGTTTATTCAGTGAAAGATTACAAAAAATTGAGATCTAGTTTTTAGTTGTTTAATCTTTGATTTTGTGGTTTGATAATTGAGACTCAAGTAGTTAAAAAAAGTATGAACTATAAGAAGAAAGTCTGCAAAGATAAATTTATGCCTTGTCAGAAGTAAGAGAGAGTAAGTGTAATTCTTTCTAATGACTAAGATTGTGTTTTCATTACTTTAACGCATCTGTTTACTGGACGCAGTTTTACATAATGCTACCAACTACTCTTGTAACTTACTTGCATTTTGTTTACAAAGATGACAACCAAATTTTTTTTTAAATATTGTAATTTAGGAACCACATCATCTGATTTTCTGAACAATGCGATGCTAACAACAGTGAGAGACAGTTTCTGATCATTTAATTTTTAATGTTTTGCTGAGTGAGAGAGTTTTTAACGTTCTTAAAGTATCCTCTTAATATTTCAAGACTACTTCTTAATCAAATTGTATGCATTTATATTTTCTCTAGATAAAAAAAAACTATGTATTTAATTTTTTTCAGGGAAATTAATCACAGTATAATTCGGAAAAGTAAATTCTGTAAAAATAGTAAAGAATAAATGTAGGGCGTAAACATATACATTATTCGAAATAACCTATCAGGAAATCTATCAAAAAATTAGGCTACCTGAAGGCACAATATTATATATACAAGGCTTAACCATGTTTCCAATTGCGTTCTTTGCGTGACATTGTATTACACCGTAATCTGTCACTGTCAACGGTTGATATTCGATGATGCTTTCAGCTCCTCGATCAGTTCGATGGCCGGAAGCACCAGGCAATTCCCTCCTCTTACTTCCATTAAATGTCCATGTAAAGTTCACTTCATTTGGGTCTGCATCTACAGAACAGGAAATGTTGCTCCTCCCATGTCGAGCGATTCCATATGTGCGAAGCTGTCTTGTACTGCAGACAGGAGAATCTATGTAAGGGTGCACTTCAATTATTAAAGTGGTAGATTGTAACTGCACGTACATGCTGAGTACTTAGGGATGGGACATTACTTGAAATGGAGGATAGTAATCTTTAATGATATAAGGGTGATATACACATATATTTTGTGTTTGTTAAAGAATTTATAATTCCATCCTACATGCAAAACCTAGCACATCTATAACAAAATGTTTGAAAAAATTTTCATCAAAGTTAACGAAAAATTGAAACTTTAAAAAAAAAATATTTAATAGAGTAATGGCATATATTTATAATTTAAAATTCAAGCTGGGATTAAATATGGCAAAGTTAAGTAGTTTGATGCATTAAAACATAGTTAAAAAATAATTATTTTAATTTTAAAAATAATTATTTTCCCATTATCTATGGATATGACAGACAAAATATCCTCTTAAATAAAAATTTTTTAACATACGCGAGTTTATCATGACAAAAATTTATCATTATGCTCCCCCTATGAAACAAATGTCAATACCACATTCGGATAAAACCTTAATCAGTCAATTTTATGAAAAATAAAAGGTGGAATTTAATAGAAAAATTACACGTAAGAAGAACAATAACATGAGATTTGGTAAAACATACATTGTTTAAAATGCTGAGATTTTGATGCAAAAAAATTTGTATAGGTTATTTTTCTCTTTTTTTTAAAAAATAAATTAGTAAATAGCAAAGTATGTGGTGAGGAATTGACTTATTTATCTCTAAAAAAGATCATGATTAATTTCAATTTAGAGCATTGTTGTGTTTGGTAATCCACTCTGCCAACACTACACAATTCTATGATATTTTAGAATGGATGAAACTTATAAAAATCCAAAGTAAGAATCTTCAAAACTTATGAATCATTTATCTTTATAAATTTTAACACTTAAGGATAAATAAACTAAAATCGTAATTTAAAAAGAAGATTTACATTTTCATATTCTTCTCTCTTCAGGTTCAACTCTTCAGGTTCTCCCGGAAGATTTTATTTCCATATTTAAAGTGGTAGAGAAATTTATGTTATTCCGCTAAACTTTTTGAATTATAATAATAATTATAAATGAGTTTGACCACCACTACATATAAATAATTACAACAAATATATAAAAGCATATTAGTCCTTACGATAGCGAATTTCAACCTAATTAAGATATAAATATATTATTGAGGAAGATAGTTTTTCGGTAATTATTGTTTTACTACCACTTGGAAAATCTATTCTCAAAAAGAGTGAATGTTGGCAGGTATGCATTTTACATAACTACTTAAGATGTTGACAACGTGATAAAAATATTAGCGAAAACACAAAATATTTTTATTGTTTATCATTAGAAAAAAAATATTGATCTTAAATTGCAAACTCACTTAAATAAACTAATGATTTGCTTATAAAAGGGAGTAAATTGTTAAAGGAAAAAATGCGGTGTCAGAAAGCTCATAATAAGTTCTTAAGAAAGAAAGCACTTAATTTCAATTGATAATTAATTTTATTTCAGCAAACTGATTACTACAGAGATTTGTCATTACTGAACATTGGTATTGCATTCGAAAATAAATACGGAATGAAAAATAAATAAAGGAATTAAAACAAACTGAAACTCGCAAAAGTTTTTAACCGTATCTGTTTATAAAGTGTAATTATTTTAAATAACTCATTATTCAATACATCAATAAAGATATAGAGAGATACAACAGAGATTAACTCAATGCATCAATAACTGCGTAAGCTATTTATTTCCAATTGGATATTATTTTAAAATACATTTGATTTAAAAATAAACTTAGAAAAATATTTGGATAATTTCATAATTAAGAGAACTTTTATAAACAATAAAATTTTAATATTAAAGTAAAAAAAATAACATGTTTATTTATAAGAGCTGTATATTTAAGAAAAAATTCTAATGTAGTAATATATATATATATATATATATATTATTATTTTTATCAACGATGATTGGTTTTCAGATAGTTTTAAAGCAACTGAATTATAAGAAATATCGTATTAATTACAAAATTTATTTAAATAAGTACAGAGTTTCACATTGCAAGTATAGAGTTTCTTTAACACTACTAGCTAACTACAGATAGTTAAATTCTGTTGAAAACAAAGCTACAACTTTTAAAATTAGAATAGAATTTCCATAGAATTCCAGCATTAGTTTCGTTGGCGAACTGAAGACTGGTTGTCGGAAAGCGAAAGTTGAATACATACCCTCTAACTGCTACGGAANATATATATATATATATATATATATATATATATATATATATATATTCCTTCTTCCTTTCTTTCTATATTCTTTTCCTTTCTAAAATTAATTAAATATACCCTACGACCAAGTTGATTTATTGTAAAGGCTGTGATAAAATAAATTGTTTGATATAAAGTTGATTGAATGCTTACATTGTATTCTTAGATAGATCTCTTCACTCTTTCCCTCACCAAAGGAATTTTCTCCAAGACATTGATACATTCCTCTATTTTTCTTGCTTACATTGTGCAACAAAAGCGAATGATTTTTTATCATGATTCCTTTGAGTGGTTCATGATACAGATCTTCTGACTGAAACTTCCATTTTATTTCAGAAATTGGTGGATTAGACTGAACATTGCATTCAAAATAAACGTCACTTCCTTCTCTAATGTGTTCATATTGAACATTTGTTCCAAAAACAAGTGAAAGGCGGGGTGCATCTAAAAATATATATATAATTCATTCAATTGAAATATTGAATTAATCACATTTTTTTTATACTCAGAAGTTCAAGCTAAAATAAACTAAATAAAGTTTATGCAAACATGAAAATTGAATACGCGCTTTATTCTAAGTATAATTTTAAAAATCGTGTTGAAAGAACTTGGAAATTTATTTACTGAAGATTGAAGAGTTATTTATTTTTTTGAATTTATTTTAGGAATGAATGTTTCAACATTTAAATTAAAAGTTGATTTTGAAACAATAGTATTCAAATATTTTAAAAGCGTTGTCTGACTGAAAACTCATAAAGATTTTACTTTATTCGGTAACTAACAAAGTATATTTCTTTGATCTAAAACATTTGCATTGGAAGTAAGTTTCGCAGAAGTGTATGTGAATTTTTCCTTTTAAATTCCATATCGGTACATTTTTGTTACAATTCGCTTCTAACGTCAATGATTTCATTTGTTTATGGGTCTGAAGTAACTACTTAGAGCTAAAAGGAAAATGGCATCAAGTGCAGCATAAAATTTTGTTATCAATTCTTGATTTTGAGACACTGAATTAAAATACGTGCGCCTCATGCACATGCGCCTCAGTCACATCCCGATGACGTTAAAGGGAAGAAGTGGGCCCTGAATTCAAGAAGAGTTAGTTTCGGACCCCATATTGATAAGAATTTAAATTCCGTGTTTTTTTCTTCAACTTCTCTTTGTGCCTCCAATATTATTCGGGTATCTTTTAATAAGCAATAATATTGCTCTTTTTTAGAGCATTCCAAACACTTCGCCATGAAGATATAGAAATTAAGGTAATCACAAAAAAAAAGGAAAAGTATGAGTCAAATACAACTTTTAGATCTGAACGAATTTTTGCAATTAAATTTATAATCTGTCAAATCTAAGAAACTGGGCCATTTAACAAAAAAAAAAAAATGCTTCGTTCTTAATCTTATTGGGATTGCACCTTGCGATATTTTTGTCAGGAATTTTCAACGGAGTCCTTTAAAAATACTTTAATATTAGTATTTTAAACTAAATGGAAAACGCCGAAGAATTTCAATTTGTGCTTTATTTGAAATATAAGTAAACCAAATGTAAGTAAACCATAAGTCATACCAAAGCAAATACTTATAATATATATATA